TACCCTTTAAAACCGGAGCACAGTAATGCTGACATTATTGCTTGGCGGCAGAAATAGGTAAGGTGGCAGTACTTCCTTGGAGGAACTCTTTCATAACGAGCTCTACTGGTACGAAGTACGCTACAGCTCCTCAATGTTATGACGTGTATTTTAAGTAATGGAAAGCTCGATATGTTACTCACAATAATATTTTGAACATTTTATATACAGCTGTGTGATAATTAAAAAAAAAAGGGCGCACTATAAGTTTCCGGAACTGCCCACTTACATAAACAATATTTAAAAAATAATTACAACATTTGAAAATGGAACTTTTTGGCCATAGAATACAGTTTGTTTCATCTGACTGTCACTTGTGTCTACATTGTGCCGTCATTTTAGAAATTAGTTGTCTACATCACCATGGATTTAACTCGTGAAAATTTTCGTAGTATGACGACTTTAAGTGTAAGTCAACATCTCAGCGGAGTTTCGCTCGGCTTCAAACTACTTTTGGCGATAAAGCACCGTGCAAGATGACTATTTATAGCTGGTTTATAGAATTCAAACGCGGTCGTGTGAGTCACAGTGACGAATTTCGTGATGCTCGCCCGTCCACTACAGGGAACAACAAAAACATCGATGTTTATTTTTTTTTTTTTTTTTATGACATTAAGTAACGGGACGAACAAGTCGTGTGCCTGATGGTAAGCTACACGCCTGCCCATAACAGTGTTGTGTGCCGTATGATCAAAACAGACAGGCATGTGACTTACCATGAGATTCGGGCATCTTTAGGCATAGGCATGAATCAAATACAATCAATACTACACAAACATTTGGGTATGAAAAAGCTGTGCTCTCGGTGGATCCCACACAATTTGACGAGGCTCAAATAACTGATCATTTGATGCAATGCCATGCTTACCAGGTTCAACGAAGGGGCGTCAAATTTGGTGTGGAATATAGGAACTGGTCACGAAACATGGATTTATAGTTACGATCCCAAAACAAAGCAGCAATCGAGCGTTTGTTGTTCTTTTTTTAATAAAACTGGGACGTGGCTACTGTTGCTTTAAAGAATCGTTGTACCGTGAATAGTGATTGGTACACGACCATTTGTTTGTCGGAAGTTATTAACAAACTCCGTAAAAAGAACCGTAAAAACCGTATCATCTTGCACCACGATAATGCCAGTTATCACACGACCAGATAGACAAATGAATTTTTGAAGGTGAACAACGTAGACCTTATGAGCCATCCCGCGTACAGTCCCGACCTGGCACCTTGTGATTTTTATTTATTTCCAAAAATTAAGAACCAGTTACGCGGTCAACGATTTTCATCCTCTGAAGAGGCTGTCGAAGAGCATGAAAAATATGTTTCAGAGATTGTCACGTAGCATAAATGTTTTCAGAATTGGTTCATTCGTATGAAAAAGTGCATTAACGCTAACGGAGAATATTTTGAGAAACAATCAATTCATATCTGACCATTTATAGTATTTTTTTCTTTTTCATTCCGGAAACTTATAGTGCGCCCCACGTATGTGTTTCGGCTTGAGATCCCTATTCTCAAAAAGCAAAAGAAACGTCGCCTAAAGAAATCATTTTCTTACAGAAGAGTATTAATTAATCGTAATTAAATACAAAATATATCTCTTTTGCACATGACAACCAACATAGTATTGTCTAAAAAATAGCGTTATATTATTATATTTTATCTCAAATTTTCGCATTGTATGTAAAAAAAGGAGGAGGTTCTCAATCCGAGTGCATGTTTTATTTTGTATGTAGGTATGTTACGCTATAACTCGGCGTTTGTGATTTTGATGAATATGTTTTTGTTGGAAAGAGGGTACGTCAGTAGTAGTCCCATTTAAATTTGAAGAAAATATTCCACGTCTAAGGGTGGGGCAAACTAGGGAATGAATCCAGTTTCGCGCACTTTCCTGTAACCGATTTCAATAAAACTTGGCAAATAGATGTTATTCCACGAACTTTTGGGGTCTATTTATTTAGTACTTTGTACTGAGATTATTAAAGTGACAGGACAACACTGTCAGTTTGAAATTAAATCGTGCACAAATGACATACTGACATACATAAAGCAATATTAATATAAAATTAATATTGTAAGCAACAATAATTAATACAACGCAATTTTTGAGACAATACTATATTAGTTTTAATATGCGATTTGCACAACATGTAGACTCATTTTAATCAATCGATGTTTTTAATTGTTACCTATAGAACTGTCCTCTTTTTCGTTCTGTAATTGCTTAGAATCAGCCAGTTGGTTCAGCTCAGCGATTACCAAACCAAGAGTGAAAGTTGACATTGGTGGGGTCATCTCAAAATGATCCCACACTGCGTTAGGTTCACCGGTACTGTATAAAAAGGACAAGTGTAGTCAAAATTGTTATATAATACATTACTTTCTGCGTTTTGAATTGCACACCTCTTATCTCTGTTAGATAAGCTAAATAAACTTAAAAATTATTTTATATATCTTCAAACGACACTTACATCTCCTCAGTTCTAGCAACTGGGACGTTACTTAGGGCAATCATGTTCCTTGGACGTACCACGCTTAGCTGAAACGGCGTCTTATAACCCGGTTCATCGAAACAGGGGAACATACGACGAGCATTGTTTGGACGAAGCTGAGTTGCGGCGACAATCCTGACAACAAAGTTTTATACGTATTCTAATATGGAATTATACAGTTTTTGATATTGTAATTACTTACTAATGTGTCGTACACGTCTAGTAGTAGAAACCAGGTTGGCAAGGTCCCCGTGCATACCTGCCTTACGCTCGAACAAATAATCGAAAGTTAAGAACAGTCCGTGTATTTTCAGAAGGAACATTTGCATAATTTTCGGCCACATTTGTCACGTACCTACTTACGCAAATTGCTAGATAAAATTATATGGGCAACTTACTTGAGCGCGTGATTAATTACTGGTCTTTCTCGCCATTTCGCTCTTTTTCATAGCCAATAAAACATAAAACTATAATGTTAAATTACATGCTAGTATAGAGTCCAAACGATGGCAGTTCGAGTACATTAGCAACATTCTAATTCCGCCATCGTTTTGTAGAAAAATATTTGTTTTATAAACTACGAATTTAGTGCGTGTTTGCTTTTTACAACAAGACTACTTCTGATTGCATAAAACAAATTTTCACGTTAACCTAAATTCGTAATTGTGCCCTATTTTTTCACCAACGTAATAAATATTGAAAATTACCTAGCCGGCTTAATTAAAAGGGCGAAATTGGCTAAATTGGCTCTCAATCTTGCTAAACTCTAAATAACCTAAATAGTCTGATTAAAATCTTGTGAAAATACTGAGAGTGTATAAAGTGATTTTAAAATAAACTTCCTTACTTAAAGGCGGGTATAATAAAAGAAGGTATAAAAAACAAGACCTTTAACTTGAAATAACAGTAACAAAACATGAAAGCGATTCAAAAATAAAATTCTATTTTACAGCCCTTTTGTCACACTCCGACCTACCTCTCAGTTTCTTGTTCCATATATGTAGTCTTAAAGAATGCTTCGGTGTTCTCAGTTTCCATGGTGCCATTAAATCCGAACACCAAATGTCCCTCTGATCCTTTGGGTATTGACTTTTCAAGACGTAAAGTTACGATTGGTTTCTTAATATCCATTGATACCCTCTTTACTGAGACCTTTTGTATTTCCTTCCTAAAATAAAAATTAAAGTTACTTGAGATCAGGTGATTACAACGGCTCCTGTTGTTAATATTGAAATAGTGTTGTAAAAGTCTATCGAGTATCCGAATAGACTCGAGTTCGATATTAGTGGTCGAGTCTATTGTGCGCTCGAGTTTGTTTATGTAACGTGTCGCGCTCAAGTCTGGTAAGTACCTAGTGAGCGGTGTTGTAGTGGGTAGTGTGTAACTTGTGAAATATTTGTAAACCTACAAGTCCTACTATAGACTTTGTTGAGTAAAAGTCGCTTCGAATCGTGTTTTCGAACTCAACTTAGATTTACCACTCGAGTCCGTGCTTTGATGACTTTCGTTCGACTCGACTCTGGACTCGTAAGTGTTTTTGGCCACCGAACCGTGCTAAATTGAATCGAGTTTATACACATAAACCCCGAACTCAAGTTTTTACAACACTAAAATGAATTGCGATATGTACTTATATTCCCTTTCAACGAAAACGTAAATATTTCAATGGTGTAGACAAGGTCTACTCAAACAGATAAAGCAGGTGCTCTTAACGAGGCATTTTCCAATTAAGTAATTTAATAATTGACATCGAACGTTTATTTAAATACAGTGATTACAACTCTAACCAAACTTCACTCCAATCACTATGTAGAAGGATCTGTTACAATCATACTTACGTATTGGGGAATGTCGCTTTCACTTCAGTATTCGTGATCTCAATCTCGTGAGCGCAGTGTACGCTGATTTCATCAGTATCCTCAAGCCATGTCACATTAATGCTAACATGACCCTTAAAGAGTCCATCTTCAAGGTAGGGTTCCAATTCGAGTCGGTATCCGGTCGGCTTTACCGATTTCTCGAGTCGCGTCTCCATGGCCAATCCATGGGCATTGTTAAGGTCTATGCTACGGGTCTTGATAATGTGAAAAGCTGAGACCTGAACACAAAAAAAATATAGAATGTTGTGGATTTGACTGTACTGCAGAATAGTTTAACTATTTTGCCATTCGATTAACAAAGATTAAAGTTAATTTAAAAAATTATCAGTGTAACAAACCTATTTTATACCATATACCTAACTTTGTTTGTAACAATAGTGCCAAAGTTTAACGCTAGATGGCATTGACATCGAAAATGCTATTTCTGAATCGTGGTGGTTAAAGTTATCCCTCTAATGTTGACTACTTTGCACAATTTCGTTTATGCGGAGAAAAAAGAGTATACTAAGAGCTCAGTAATGCAATCGAGGAGTTTATCCCTTCTTGGGAACTGCTGCCCGCGCCTTCTGATATCGACGTACGCTCAAATAGAGTGAAAATCATCGTCTTGAAACGGTTTCCAGTGGTCGAGTCAATTCTTGAGAACAAATACCCACCCTTCCTTCCTTCATACAGTGTGAAATTATAATTAACGGAAATAAACAGTTTTCTTCCAACAACTTGGAGTTTTAACTTGTCTGGAGCTGCTTAACGTCATCCTACGTCACGTCGAGAACCCTCCTCTTATACATCAGTTAAATAAATAAAAGTTTTCACAAACTTAGCAAACGGTAACCGAATCTCGTGGTTTAATGCAAATTTAAACAATATAGCTACAGTTGCGCAACTATTTAATGCTTAAGGTATTCTAAATATTATTATTCAAGTTCACAAAATGAATCACGGATTACGTCATACATCTATGACTGGTCATAAAAGCTTATCGTACACCTCCCTCCGTATGTTTTTAATTAGTTGAAATTTTGTTCCTTTTTACTATTATGCTTAACTCATGTCTATACACATTATTACCTATATACAATGCATACATATCATAAAATAAAACTAAGTTTATGACAGACGTCTACCATTTTAGTGCTTTCAGTAATAAGTCACTACATTTTCCTGTTATTACATTTTCTCCAACAGTCATCAAACCATACGCCTACTTAAAAGTTTTAACAGTTTTCGTCAAAACATTCGTAAAAATGTTATTCTACGCTTTTTATTTCGAAATTGGTAATAAATGGTTTAAACGGTTACTAAATGTCGTAACAATGAATATGGTAAATTTGCTTTGGAACTGCTTTTAACATTTATTGAAAGGAAAAAAGTATAATTATAACTATATTTACAATTTCAACAAAAAAAATGTTTTCAAAATAATATTTATTTAATCAAAATCTCTGCTGTCTTGTTGAAAACTCATTTATTTCTTTTGCGATACAATAGTGGAGTGCGGAAATCTACAAAGTCTTGGAAGTGATTCAACAGCTTAACTAAATTGTTTCCCTTGTAGACGTTTAACTAAATTGTGGTCGGTCTCAATATGGTCAATGAATTCATTTTCAGCTTCACGTAAATTAATTGTTTTAAATTGCATAAAAAATGGTAATCAATATGGTTTAAGAAAAGTGAATATAGAGGGTACCGAAGAGTTTCAATCTTGCAACTCTTTTAAGGTGGAGATAGCTTGTTCGGCAGTATAGGTACGATCTGACTTTATCTTGTAGAAGTAGCGGTAATGAGCGACCAAAAAACAGCTGTTACTCCGTTAGTTTTGCTATTATCCTCCACATTCATAGCTGTCCTGGTTATATTACATTTAAAGCAGCTAAGGTAGATTACTCTACGACACTTTTCTGTAGGGCTTTTGCTTTTAAGGATACTGCCTATTGCCAGAGCCCAACCACATCGTTGACCTTTCGCAATTATCAGAAATAATCACAAGCAATGTTACGGTCTAAAACTCCTTCGTCCCTAATCGATTCATTGCAGTGCAAACTTCAATGCGCATCATTCGTTGTGGTACGGACAACTCGTATGGTTACCGTTTTCTAGTTTTTTTATATTATTTGGATTTGGCGCAAATGTGTCAGTATTATGAGTAGTTCCATCAAATCATGCTACTAATTCCTCCACAGTTTACTTTAATAAATCAGCTTCAACATTAGCTCGCACCTTGTCGTTATTCACCTTATGATCAGGTCATTTGAAAAAGTTTTCAGATTGAATCTTGTACTAAAAAAATGTTATTTCAATTCAAAGTGGCCAGAACTTACGAAAGTATAATTTATACTACAACCACTAATATTAATCTCTGTTTTAATATAAGTAACGAATCAGAAAACACGTGTCATCAGGAAAACCTTATTTGCAAACACCCGAGGGAAATCTAAAAATCTATCAGGTGCGAGATCGAGTACACCAGTATCTTATTTATTATTTGAAATATCCGAGAAGTTGACAAAAATCTCTAAATATCATCGCGGCAATAAAAAAAGCTTAAGAAGCCAGTATAATAAGTTAAATAAAAGCAATTGTTTAAACTGTATGAAAAAATACATGATTATCTAGTATGTTCAAAAACTGTAAATGCAATTAAGTATGTATATGTTAATTTGATTCAATAGCGAAAAGTTATTTCATGTCGGGGCAACCTTACATGAAATGTAGGCACGATCTCAATGTCGTTGGCTGTTCTTGTTCAATACAATATTCTTTCAACTGTGAAGCCTCGCCTTTGAAGCAGACTGTTTGCTCTCTCGTCTGAACTTAATTTGTAATGTTTGTTTAATGATTCTCCTTGATTATAATTACTATATAGGAATCATTGATTTGAGATGGTCTTTTCCATTAAATTACACTAAAACCGTTGAAAAATATATTGTTATAACCGACTTCAAAAAAAGGAGGAGGTTCTCAATTCGACTGTATGTTTCTTTTGTATGTAAGTAATGCTATAACACCGGTATTTGTGAACCGATTTTGATGATTCTTTTTTGTTTCAAAGAGGGTACCTCCATAGTGGTCTCTTTTAATTTTGAAGAAAATCATCCACCTCTAAGGGTGGCTGTTCATGCAAGAAGATTCATTTTTAAAAAAAACGCCTAAGTTTTATTATAAGGAGCAATTATTTTAATGGTTGATTTTGCTATTGTCCAATTCAAGGCGTTTTTCTCTCGATATACTTTGAGTAGTGAGAACCGATTTTTATTATCCCCTGTGTCAAACCGATTCCGGTAACCGATTTCAACAAAACTTGGCAAATAGATGTAATTCCACGTACTTTTGAGGTTGGTTTTTTTAGTACTCTGTACTGAGATTATTATTTTTGCATGTTACGCGATTAATCTGACATTTGAACCGATTTCAATGATTATTTTTTGTTGAAAATTGAGGTACCTCCAATATTAGTCCGATTCAAATTTGAAGAAAATATTCCACCTCTAAAGGTGGCAAATTAAGGGATAGGTCCGTTTTATTGGATTTGACTCAATTCCGATAACCGACTTCAATAAAACATGGCAAATATGTGTAATTCCAAAAACTTTCTTTTATTATACAAAAGATATAAATATTTGATAATACAAATATTGACACATAATGAAACCACATTGCTAATACCGGTGCCCAAACTAGGTAATGGCATGCATTTATGGAAATATGTGTCACAAAACATTTGTTGTGTTGCACGTGACGCACACGGTGTTTAAAAATGGTGTTAACCAACAGAGGCTGTTATGCTCTATACATTGCAGATTATTACATGTAGAATACATAGCGATCGCGGTCATGTGGTACACGTGACGTCACTGCAGCTGCTGTTCCGGCAAATTCATGAATACTCACCATTTTACTCATCGCTAATAACACGAGTTTACGCATTTTGAACAAATTTCTGCAGTTCCGATTTTATTTTATACAAAATAGTTCTAACGGATTCTTCATTTTTCTATTCGAAACACGAAGTTTAAAATATAACTACTAATATTCGACCGATATTTTAATAGGTATAGTATTTTGATGGAGTTATTTGGATTAATATATAATAAATAAATATCCGTTTAAATATTGTCGATAATGTACTTGAAAAGTACGACATCTATCTATATTGGGGAAATTTTCAGGTTATTTTTCTCTAATTTCGGTGGCAAAAAAAAAACATTATTCCTATATTGTACAATATTATCATGATATATTGTAGAGTATTATTTAATGTAGTAACCTGAAATATTATTTAATATTTCACGATAATTTACTTGAATACTTAAATTGAAATTAAAATTGCCACCGAAATTAAGTAGAGAAATCTAACCTGAAAATTACCCGTTGTCCAAATTCGCAAACCTACTAATTTCAACTACACTAAACTGAATATCTATTGATTTTATATGTAATTCAGCGCTAGTACCATGTGCTATTAATGTTGTGGTTGGGCTTGTGAGTTTACGCTTCAATTGGGACCACTTAAACGAAGTAGCAAATACAGTCAGCTTATTACCGTTAATCATTGAATATGAATACCGTAGAACGCTACGGTATGGGCAACGGCCCATTCTAGCCAATAATACCTAATTAACACTCATGATCATATGAACACGTGTAAATAAGACTTTGAAAATTTGTATTGTTTATTTATTATAAACATTGCACTGCATTATATCGTACTGTGGGGAACTCAACATGAACACAACTGAGTTGAATAGGGTTTTTATCCTTCAAAAACGTGCACTAAGAACTATAGTAGGTAAAAAAAGTCAATCCAGGAATGGAAATCATTTCAAGAAATCATATAATGACGACATACTCACAACACATATATGATATTAGAGTTTATGCGCGTCAACGCTTATGAACTTACGTCTTGAACACATATGAGCGACGTACAAGTGGAGGCCGAGGGTTGCGAAACGCGGGAAAACTAAAATCCGTTGCCCACCGTACCGAAATCGCAACGAAAATTCCGCAAGTAATAGGTCCCCGATTCTACGAACATCTAACCACAAACCTGAAAGGTTTTACAAACGACAAAACGTTTAGTACCCGACAAAACTCATTTTATTGGATAATGATTTCTAAAATCGATAAGTTTCTTTTGAAACAACTGTAATTTTATTTTTCTTGATTTAGACAAACAGTAGTTATACTACTTTATTTTATAGGCAATGAAACTATTTTTCCGGATTTAAATCGCGTATATTTGTTTTTTCAAACAAACCAACGTTTCTGACCCTTTACAGATCCCATGGTCACGGTTGACTGATTTGGACTTTTGTTTCAAAAAACAAATGTAAGTATGCGATTTAAATCCGGAAAAATAGTTTCATTTACTATGTGTAACAATCGCGAAAACCAATATACTTAATTTTATATTCATTATTATTGTTTGCGTTAGTGACGATCATAGCTATTATCCCTTGACATTGTATTTTTAATTGTGACATTGGTAATATGAAATAAATGATTCTATTCTATTCGTAGAAATAAAATGTCAATATCAGGATACTAACATATGAGGAAGCAGTAGAGTTTTAGCAGCAGTAGGCTCCTTCTGAAAGTATTCATCCAGGAAAGTACTGCTACCTTACCTATTTCCGCCGCCAAGCAGTAATGCGAGTATTACTACACTACGGTACGGGAAGGGTAAGGGTGCTGGTGAAATTACAGGTACCTACATAGTCTTGTCCAGGGCGCAGTGGCAGTGTGCCCCTCAGATCTTTGGGATTTAAATCTCTGAGTGGTGCAGCAACTACTATGGCCAGGCGTGTCGCTTACCACCAAGTGCACAACTTGTTGGTCGCGTCACTTAGTATTCATAAAAAAGCCAGTCGTTACTGCCTGATTTAGTTCTTGGAGCTAAAAAATACTAACATATAGTTAGTTTGTTCACTTATCCTACGATTTTTAGGACTTTACGGTAGTAGTATCAATATATTCCAGGGCATATTCCCGTCTAAATTGAAATGTCATCAATACTAAATAACGACGCACCATTTTCGGTGATGTCGAGCATTCATACTACCGTCCTCGAGATAGAGTTTCTTGAAAGCAGAAAGTGGAATATTATTTATATCACTCTCGGGAGCTCGATGCGGCCTCCAGAGCAAATAACTTTGACTAGACGTAATGGCTCAGCTACGCTGGCGCCCAATCTTTATGGACTACGAACTCTTACCTCTATCTGACGAACAGCATAAAATTATTATTCCAAGGTGCTTCCATGAAATGACGTACCTCATACATATGAGTGTATTTCGAAATATACATTATTTTAATATCAAGTTTCTATCTTATTTCGATGGTTAACTACGCAAAATCAAAGGACCATGTGCTTTACTACTTACAATTAGATATGATTTGTTTTGTTCTCTCCTGATGGAAAGTGACGATGAGGTCGACGATCAAGCATGCACACCTAAATAATGCCTATTCACTCTCGCCTTGAAAAGCCCCAAGTTATAACGTTCAGGGAATAAGACATTCCAGGCAGGCAGGAAATTCCATTAGTAGCCGTTCGCTATATAAATGTGGAAGCAAAACGCTACTTGCTATATATCCTGTAAAATAACGATTAGCAGGCAACCTTACGGCGGTGTTCAAGGCTCTGCAGTTTCGCCTCTACTAATTCCGATTCATCTATAAGTCTTGTTCCTCACGCTCTTGTTTATCACGCTTGTCTATTGAATCCAAGGTGGCCAATAGGTATTTAGCAGAGCCATCCCATAAGTGGCAGCAGTACTCCGTACACGACTGGACTTGTGGTTGGTACAGCTGAAGCAACTGTCCCAGTGTGAAGTAACGCCTCACCTAGGAAAGGATGTTGCCAAGCTTCCTGGCTGCATTTTTGACCATTGGTTCAATGTATCTGCCGAAGTTCAGATTAGACAACAGGTCCATTCCAAGTAGGTGAAGACGGTCGGCTATCGGTATGAATGTATCCCGAAAAATCCGAGTCAGGTTAAAAGGAACTCCGTTTTGTGAAGAATAGACACGCCTGCGTTTTGATAGCATTAAATTTGACAAGATTGGTATCGCCCCAATCGGAGACTGCCTTAAGTGTCAAAATCAAACGACTAACCATGGACTCTCGACAAGACTGGATTTCCTCTACACTGACCCTTGCATTGGACAAGTACCTGTGCGCAACTGTGCTGTCATCAGCATACGCAAAGGCTCCTGGAATTAACATATCATTGACATGCAGCAGAAAGAGGGTTACGGACAATACACAACCCTGAAGAACTCTCCATAGTCCGTAGTTCGGTAGAGTAGACTTCTAAGACCACACGAATCGAATATTCACTCAAGAAATCCAAAATTAAATTGCAAAGATCAGTGCGAAGCCCATAAGAGGGAAGTTTGCTTAAAATATATAGATATGAATATAATATTTTAAGTGTAAAGTCCGAACCTACCATCTATATAAATATCATATATCATATCTGATTTAATGTCAATTCTAGCATTTAATTAAACTTCAACAAGTTTAAGAAAATTGAGAGCGTACCACACAAAGTTTGATATTAACATAAGTAACTCAAATACATTCAGTAGCCAAGAAGGTCATGGTTTGACGTTTACACAGGTGCGACAATTGGTAATTTTCAAATAAAATAAAGCAACAAACTTGCTAAGTTTTCCAAAAACAAAACATTTTATATAGGTTTTAAAAAAGTATGACTCTGCGAAAAATACCTAATTATTTATATACAAAAGTTATATCATATAACTTTTGTATATAATATTTACGACTTTGTATGTACTTACAGCAACTACTAAATGCCTAACTTATCCGCTTAGTCTAGTAAAACTATAATAGTATCGCTAAATTTGACAGTCTCTAAGTTATTCTGCCAACGACAACACGACTTTCTAAACTCCATTCAAATCAAGTTTAAAAATTATTTTTTAAACTTGATTTATTAATTATCAATAATTTTGTTTTTGCTCGTTTGCAAAGGTAATCACCACGTTTTTATTTTATGATTCCAAGTGACGGGACGATCAAGTCGTGCGTCTGGTGTTAAGCTACACGTCTATCCATAGCAGTTGCAGTGCCACTCAGAGCTTTAAATCGCAAATATCTGAGGGACTCTGCCACTGCGCGTGTTACCTTGAGATTTAAGTTGACAAGTCTCATGTATGTACCTGTAATTTCACCAAAACCCGTACCCTTCAAAACTCACATTATTGCTTTGCGGCAGAAATACGTAAGGTGGCAGTACCTGCTGCTCTGGACAAACTCTTTCACAAGGAACTCTACTGCTAAATGATGTTGATCAATATATTATAATCGACAATTTAAGCCTATTAGATGAAAATTATCCCTTAAAATATTTATAAATAAATATATACAAAGAAAGTAAACAGAAAGATATTATAAGAAAGTTCACACATACAAACCGAAAACTGACCGTGATATTGACAATATTAAAACGTAACGACCAAATCGAGGCCGCAAATGTGGTCACATTTCGCAGATTGCTTGCTATATCCAACGTAATGTGCTGCCTACGATCGAATGCATATTGCATCGGAAACCGCCCGCATTTCAACTTCGACACAAATTTTGGGGTGACTGGTGAATTTGGGGAAAATTAGCAATAGTTCAGGTATGTATTCACCGTGCACACATGTATCTGCTATAAAATTATCCACAAACACTCAACCTCAGTCCTTGAATATTTATGGACAAAAACAAAAACTCAATTGAAAAATCCAATTTCAATGCAAATTTACCTAACAACATAGACTATTCAAGCTTTGTATGTAGTGTTTCATTTGCTATGCCGAACAGTGAGCAAATTTAAATTTTTCATTCTCGAAACCTGTCTATAGCGTTTACAACTCTATAACGGTCTATTCTTTCAGCTCAATTTTTTTAACAGGGGAGTAAGTCTATTGATAATATGTGACAAAATAAATTTATTTTGTATACATAAATAGTATACAAATAACGGTAACCCGGTAAGAGCCTCAAAATAGCTCCAAGATTGGTCACATCTATCACGAGCTGTAATCGCAGGATGTAAGCTTTACACGACAAGTTATTCGAGGACCCCAGACTGGAATACATACGTATCCTCCATAATATATTATACGAAGTTTAGAGGGGGTAAAATATCTATAGAGGTTTGTATTGCCTCAACTATTGCAAAACCCTATAAGATTAATATATAAGGAAATACCTAGTAATTTATACAGTTTTTGTACAAACTGGAAAGTTTCAAGGACCGGTGATCTAATTTTGTAATTATGTTGATAGGCATCTTGTACTCAGTTGTGTAACGTGGGGAAAATATTTAACATAAAATATATTACATTTTTTACATATTGCAATGCAGTTTTCCTATTCAAAATCTAGTAGCAATCAATCGCCAAAACAATCTCCATACCTAGGTAGGGTTAAATATTTCCCGGCCACGGGTAGCGGTAACGATTTTGAACGATTTGTTATATCTCTGTGTAAACTTGTGTTTATAATAATTTTGTGATTTTGGCGCAGGCGGCAGTCCTTTTAGTGTAAACAACGCGTCGACGCTGCGCCACTTTCGTCAGACGAATTCGTTTGCCGAAGAGGCGGCTGTCGAAGCGGTGTAAACAGCGCATCGACTGTGCCGCCGTCGACAAGGCAAGGTAGTCTGTCTCAGGCGACAGTCGACCCTACATTAACACATCATATGGTTGACCTTTGGTGACTCGTAACGTTCAAAATCCGTTAGAGCCAACTTGAAACCAATAGATACATCATAAATATAGGTACCTTATCTGGTGGTAGAGAGTGCGCAGCAGCGACCCACAGAACGGAGAGAATACAGCATAAACGCAACATTGTACCTGAGATGATAGAAAAGCCATCATGATGTAAATGTACTCATTTATTACCTGAATCTAACTAAGTTGGAGAATAAATTTCTTATACATTATACATACAATGATTCTGGCTCTGCTTACTTGTTATATTTAAGGGTAATATCAAAACTAGTTCAGCACATAAATATAAAAAAATATTCAACAGCTCTCCATTATGTTTAAATTCATTCTCTTCAGCGTAACCACGATTAGAAAATGTCAAAAGATGCTTCTGGGTGTTTCAAAATAATTTTAATAAAAATATAATAAGCAAAATCAGGTATACTCACGTGAGGATCAGTTGGTCGGTGTTGGGCCACTGAGCACTCCCGCTCAATTGCCCGCAGGATGTAGCTCATTTGCAGGATTGAGCCTGACTGCTAATGCTATTTACCAATCTGTGTACAGGAATTTAGTCACACATCTATTGTAACAACCATGTCACTGTAAAGATCTTAGGCATAAGGACCATATTTTATTAAATAAGTGGATTGACGTCAATTCGCAAATTATATTCTAGTATGTGCTGTCGTAAACAAACAAGAAATCTTAAGCAGATTCAGTATTTTTGTTAGAGGTTACTACCTCTTGGGCGCACCACACATTGAGTAGTCGCAAATTGGAAATGAGATGTGATTTGTTTAGCCGTAATTGCCATTACGGAATTATTTCGCACTTTCGGTAAAATAACGCCACATCTGCGAAATAACAAGTTTTCAGAAGAAACATTTAACCTCTTAACACCCAGTTAACTGCAGTTGGAAAAGCGATGAATGTTCCATTGATATTTCAAGTTATTAGTTAGTTATTTTACTAAATTGATTACAAAGAAATATGCCTTCAAAAAAGTATTTTTCTAGATACTCTATGGTCGTATAGAATATATAACGCTAAATTTTAATTATAGTGTTTACCGGGTTTACGTAATCGTATAAATAATAATATTGGGTCTGAATCACTTCACATATTATATACACTTTAATGTTAAAGATTGTATACGGGAGGTAAAAGATTCCATAAACGAAATCAGTCGATAACTTTTTTGCTTAAATAGGAGTTATAAAATTTCACATAAAAAAGATAAAGTCAAAGTATTATAAATACTTTCTTGCTTTCATGTATTACAAAGTGCTCCAGTATCAACACGACCCTGTTAGGCCGCCGCCGCAATTCGTAAATATGATAAAAATTGTAAAATTAGAAGAACATACTATAAATCGAGTTCTTAGGTTTTCGCGATTGTTACACATAGGAAATGAAACTATTTTTCCGGATTTAAATCGCGTATATTTCAAACAAACCGACTTTTCGGGCCCTTTACAGGTCCCATGGTCACGGTTGACTCACTCACTCACTCTGACTCACTCAGTCAACCGTGACCATGAGAC